CCAAACGCACGTGTTTGTATTTGAATCTCGTACCGTTCATGGCCATATCCTTATTAAAAGCCTCAGATTAGGGAACACAATTCGGTGAGTTATGTTCGTCATAATGGCAGAATGACTACATATATTTTTTCACGATTTCTTAAACAATCATAGAGTGACATAACCGATTTAAGGACATGGGGTTAGTTTTAGTACCTCTATCCTATATCTGCTGCTTGGGTTATCATATTTTCGCACATACAATCCATCGAGAAATGGACGTGTCTTCTTGGAGGTTACGGAAAGGGTCGAATGGTGACGAGTGTTTAACAGCTAAATCCATTCTAAATAACATTATGTCATATATGTCCTGACACACGGATTACAGGGTATTATGTCCGTACATATCTTCAGGTTGGAAGCAGTCCTACCCTGGAGTGACCCCTCAATACAGGAAGAGAAGGACACAAAAAAGCAAACTTCATGCTGCCTGCACGGAAGGTGATCTTAAACGAGTGACGCGGCTCTTGTCTCATACTCGGGTGAACATGAACTGTAGATATGGGTCCAAGAAGTTAACACCTCTCCTGCTGACTGCATTCTATGGGCACAGACAAGTGTATGACTTCCTTGTAAGTAAAGGTGCTGATGTATCCCTTGTAGGTTTTGACGACAGCAACATTCTGCATGTGGCATCTGAAGGTGAACATGAGGAGATGGTGAAGTGTGTCCTTTCACAAGTTATCATTGACATCAACAGCAGACAAGAGGGGAAGGACACCAGTGATGCGAACAGTGTATTTTTGACACATCTCCTGTTCCATGTTAAAACGAATGTACTAGAAGATGATAAACAGCTCCAATCTAATGCAGCTAATTTGATTATGAATATTATTGTCGCCGATAACAGATTCGTTATAAAATCAATTATGTGTTTATTAACACCAACAGAAGTACTTGTGTTACATCATGCTACCTCAAATGATCGTTTGGTGTTTTTGTAATGTTGATAATAAATGTATTCGGGTTCTGAGCATGTGCATACAGCATTCAATGTACACGGTTTGTTATTACCCAGAAGGCGCAAACACCACGTACATGAGAACAAATACAGGGAAAAAGGTGAAACCTACAGGAGAACGCAGTTTTCTTCGAAGACTTTTTTGCATGAAGAAATATACTAGGTAATGTTAATTCATCTGCCACATATGAAAGTCACGTGTAGAAGTTCCCTTTTCTTTGCAATTTAATTAGATACGTCGCACAACTAGAAGTGAGGGATTTCCTGAAAGTAACCATAGAATCGTATTATTCACCTCTGTACTAAGGGTATGATAATGCCCGGGAAGGAGTACTGCTGTCATACCAGCCAAATCGTTCTCTTGCTGGGGAGTTTCCTAAAAAAAGGTAATCCATTCAGAGAAGCTCTGGCTCCATTTATTCTCTTCGCTGTAAACATTAGTTCACGTTATTACAATATGCATAAGAAAAGTACTGTAGCAAGTATACAAAATATTACAAAGCAGATACAGTACAGTTATTTGATAAACACAATTGATTTGCTACGTTTAAATTTTTCGTGACGTTATATTTGATTGGTTTGTTGTTTTACGCCGCAATATTCAAGCTATATGGCGGCGGTCTGTAAATAATCGAGTCTGAACCAGACAATCAGGAGATAAACAGCATGAACATCGGTCTACGCATTTGGTATACGATGACATGTGCCACCAAGTGAAGCGAGAATCTCCATCCGATACCGTTAGTCGCCTAACATTGTCGCACTTTGCAATATTCCAGCTATATGGCGGCGTTTTGTAAGTAACCGGGTCTGGGCCAGACAATCCAGTGATAAACGTCAGGAGCTTCGATCTATGGCAACTGAGAAATGAGACACCCAAATCAGCTTACCTAACCACCCGATCCACCCGAATCACTTACGACGACAAGCATGGGATGCAGAAGATTCAATCTAACCTTGATCTTCACGAGTGGAGACAAGCATGGGATGCAGAAGACCCAATCTAAACCGGATCTTGACGAGTGGAGACAAGCATGGGATGCAGAAGACCCAACCTAACCCGGATCTTCACGGGTGGAGACAAGCATGGGGTACAGAAGACCCAATGTTACCCGGATCTTCACGAGTGGAGACAAGCATGGGATGCAGAAGACCCTATCTAACCCGGTTCTTGACGAGTGGAGACAAGCATGGGATGCAGAAGACCCAATCTAACCCGGATCTTGACGAGTGGAGACAAGCATGGGATGCAGAATACCCAATCTAACCCGGATCTTCACGAGTGGAGACAAGCATGGGATGCAGAAGACCCAATCTAAACCGGATCTTCATGGGTGGAGACAGGCATGGGGTACAGAAGACCCGATGTAGCCCGGATCTTGACGGGTTGAGACAAGCATGGGATGCAGAAGACCCAATCTAACCCGGATCTTCACGAGTGGAGACAAGCATGGGATGCAGAATACCCAATCTAACCCGGATCTTGACGAGTGGAGACAAGCATGGGATGCAGAAGACCCAATCTAACCCGGATCTTCACGAGTGGAGACAAGGATGGGATGCAGAAGACCCAATCTAAACCGGATCTTCATGGGTGGAGACAGGCATAGGGTACAGAAGACCCGATGTAGCCCGGATCTTCACGAGTGGAGACAAGCATGGGATGCAGAAGACCCAATCTAACCCGGATCTTGACGAGTGGAGACAAGCATGGGATGCAGAAGACCCAATCTAACCCGGATCTTCACGAGTGGAGACAAGCATGGGATGCAGAAGACCCAATCTAAACCGGATCTTCATGGGTGGAGACAGGCATGGGGTACAGAAGACCCGATGTAGCCCGGATCTTGACGAGTGGAGACAAGCATGGGATGCAGAAGACATACTGTAACCCGGATCTTCACGAGTGGAGACAAGCATGGGAATGCAGAAGACCCTACCTAACCCGGATCTTCACGGGTGGAGACAAGCATAGGGTACAGAAGACCCAATGTAACCCGGATCTTGACGAGTGGAGACAAGCATGGGATGCAGAAGAAGGAACCTAACCCGGATCTTGACGAGTGGAGACACGCACTGATGATCGATCTCCAGTGGTAAATTCAGCAATATCAGAAGAATATGGACATCATTATGCTTCAACAAGTGAGAGGAATTAGTCAATGTTTAAAATGGGTAATATTAACAGCAATAAACTTGTTAATCATTGTTGTTTTCTTCCTAAACATGTAAACACGTGAAGTGAGCATTTGCAGTCTCATTGTTCATGTTTTCCACTGATTTGATTTTTCTTTGTTCTGTCGAGAACCTGGAATGGTATATTAATATCCCCCAAACTGGTGATATGATCTCAACTTTTATCCACATACTGTACATTCAAATCCTTTTTAAACAGTAAAAATATAAAATCTGTTCAGATAAAACGAGCTTTAACAAAGTTTGATACTCTTCACACAACTTACAATGTTATAATATATCATTGTAAGCATGTACAGAGTTAAGTTCTGTTATGTCCACATGGAAAAGGAGACGTTCGTATACCTACATTATGCTGCAAAGTATTTTCATGTATAAGTATCCGTTTCGACAACGTTTTGTCCACCTGTCAACCACCAAACCTTATGTCTTACTCTGTTTTGAGGTATATAAATAAAGTACCTAAATTACGTTAGCGCTAAGACGCACACAATGAGAGAGAGAAAATGAGAGAGAGAGAGAGAGAGAGAGAAAGAGAGAGAGAGAAGAGAGAGAGAAAGAGAGAGAGAAAGAGGGAGAGAGTAAACATGAATGAGTGAATTCACTTTTACGCCGCTTTGAGCAATATCGAACAATGTCAATATCAGACACCAGATATGGGCTTCACACATTTTACCCATGTGGGAAATCGAAAATGGGTCTTCGGTGTGGGGAGCGGACGCTTTAACCACGAGGTTACCAAACCGCCCCTACAGAGAACATGAGAAACCATGTGAACTATGACTGTAAGCATTTACACATACATACATGCATGTGTAATACTCGGACGTTGTACATATGCATTCCAGTGATGTTATTGTTTAGACAGAGGAGACATTTAATACTGGAGTACAGGTAGCAACGTCTGCGGGTGGTGACGTTGATGTCTGTTCTAACCCGTCCAGATGGTAGTTGTGTACACCCTACTGGAGTACAGGTAGCAACGTCTGCGGGTGGTGACGTTGATGTCTGTTCTAACCCGTCCAGATGGTAGTAGTGTACACCCTACTGGAGTACAGGTAGCAACGTCTGCGGGTGGTGACGTTGATGTCTGTTCTAACCCGTCCAGATGATAGTAGTATACACCCTACTGGAGTACAGGTAGCAACGTCTGCGGGTGGTGACGTTGATGTCTGTTCTAACCCGTCCAGATGGTAGTAGTGTACAACCTACTGGAGTACAGGTAGCAACGTCTGCGGGTGGTGACGTTGATGTCTGTTCTAACCCGTCCAGATGATAGTAGTGTTCACCCTACTGGAGTACAGGTAGCAACGTCTGCGGGTGGTGACGCTGATGTCTGTTCTAACCCGTCCAGATGATAGTAGTGTTCACCCTACTGGAGTACAGGTAGCAACGTCTGCGGGTGGTGACGTTGATGTCTGTTCTAACCCGTCCAGATGATAATAGTGTTCACCCTACTGGAGTACAGGTAGCAACGTCTGCGGGTGGTGACGTTGATGTCTGTTCTAACCCGTCCAGATGGTAGTAGTGTTCACCCTAAATAGCAACACAGACACTATGACAAATGCGTGGTAAGCGTATATCTACAATCACAAGGACATACGTGCCTGTCGATAATCTCATCGCGTATTACACAATAATACATTGTTAACATGACTGATTTTTAAAACGCAGTAAACAAAGAGATTAAACATGAAGTGACGGGAAAAACACGTGTATCAACACAATCTCTTTCCTCCAGCGTCCTGTCTGACAAGGACATGTAAATATAACACAACATATCCTGTTTAGCCTGAGCTCAATAATGCAAGGTGTTTCGTCAGCTTTGTGATTACATCAGACGTGATCAACAGGGACAACTCTCCGTGAATGGGTAAATACTTCACAAGCTCGTCAGAATTCCAGGTGTGAAGCCAGACTCACGCATGCACGCACACACACACGTAGGCACTCACCAACGTTTACTCAGACACTCGCCCAGCCAAACCGGACTCACCCACTCGTTCACTTCCTCCAAAGCTTGATATCACGCCGGATGTTACATTTTAACTCCATTTATGTCAAAATAACTTGTGCGGTCAATTTCAAATATATTCTGTCATTTTTGTCGGTGTCATCGTCAAGTCGACACATCACACCGACACTTGATTCAAGCTAGTGGATAGTTGCTTAGAGAGGCAACAGTATACGTGACACCGAGGGCCTGGGAACAAACCAGGAGGTAGATCATGTGGACCTGACACTGCAAGCAATGTTATCACCACATCCACACAGTCGCCAAACAGACGGAGGAGCACATGTTCTAGGTCGTCTATATTATTCTGGTAAGTCATAAAACCTTTTGAGCATTTCTCACTCTACTCACTGCATATTATGGATAATATTCATTCACACGTTATGGCTACACCACGGTACTCCGTCGGGTCGGGCTCTTCAGGCATCACTAAAACAGCATGCCCACACACACCACACACCTCAACCCACCCTCCGTCCCTTCCCCTTTATGTGCATATTTCATTAGTTTAAGTGTACTATTCTTTCCCTAATTACCTGCATAGGAACTACTGCTACCAGTATGTTCGTATAATGTGGTTTGTGTCCCTTTTTAGGCAACTATGTACACACACCAACCAACAGGTTAACTGGGCCGTGTCGTGTTGGTAATTATTGAAAACCTTGGGGTATAAAATAACACAGGGGGTGTTATAATGAGCGTTATTCGTATCAGGATGTATTATCCCTGTGTTCAGCTAAATATATGATTTTATCATCCAAACTGTGTTCCACATTGGATATTGCTTGTGTGAGATAAAACGATATTTCAAGGGAGATATCGCTTTTTATTACCTACGAGGGCGAAAATATCGGGGTTCATATTCATACGATGACCCAGGGCAAAATATCACTTTGTCATGGTGACGTGACGTCATGAACAATGCTATAATGTCACTTTTCTTCTGTGATGTAGCGTCCTATATGCGGCGACGGCGGGTAGCCTGCCTATGTTTGAAAGTAGATTTGGGTTTATTTTCCTCAATTTGACGACTTTGGTAGTAAACAGAATGTCATTTTCGTGCCCATATCATACGTAATCTATGTTTACGACCTTGGTGCCTAACTATGGTATATACCTCGCTCTCACTCGGGGAATACCAACATTTAGGCACTCGTGTCGTAAACATAGTATGACATGAGCACTCATATAATATCCTCTATGACAATAGGTTTTGTATACCGCCCTGACAATGCTATGACGTCGTGAACTTGATGACGTCACAATGCTATGACATCGCTGCATTGCAAGTCTAATGGCAGCAACGTGTTCAGAGAAAACTAATGAAGAGTGGTTTTTTTTATGATAAATAGAATCTCCACCAGTTGTTATACAGAACTTGATGCCGAAATCCTTGATTCAATAATAACCGAAATTGTCGATGCCAGAGGAAATCTTAAAAGCGGAAAATCACCTGGTTCGGACAAGGTTTTAGTGGAGATGTTAAAAGCTTCCAAAGACATTAGCCATTTTTGCATAAATGTTTTAACTTGTTTTTAAGACTGGATATTTTCCAAGAACCTGGGCGCAGTCTATCATAGTACCTCTACATAAGAAGGGTGACATCAATAACCCTGACAATTACAGAGGCATATTTCTGACGAGTAGTATTGGTAAATTGTTTACATCTATCCTCAACAACATGTGGGCTAATATTAGAGATAAAATTCCTGAAACGCAAGCTGGCTTCAGGAAAGGTTATTCCACATCTGACCATATTTTTTACATTGTATGCAATTGTGCAAAAGTACTTAATAATGCAAATATGCAACGTGAACGTGCCGTTGGCATGTTGCAAGCGGGAAGATCAGTTATTGACGTCGCAAGAGCAATGGGATGCAGCCGTCGTACTGTGTATGACTTGCGAGGTCGTCTACAACAAACTGGCACTACTTCTGATCGCCCATGGTCGGGTCGTCCACGTGTGACGTCACGAGCAGAAGACCGTCAAATCGTCCGACGTCACCTACGTTACAGATTTCTGCCGCCTACACGAACCAGGGCTGAGATGTTTAGAGGTCGACTGTCCTCACAGACCATTCGAAATCGGTTGCGGGCTGCCAATCTCCATTCTCGACGTCCATATCGTGGGCCAATATTGACGCCATTTCATCAACGTCAACGTCTGCTGTGGGCCCAACGTCACCTCCGATGGACCCAGAGAGACTGGAATGGAGTCGTCCTTAGCGATGAATCCAGGTTTACCCTCAGATTCGCGGACGGCAGGCATAGAGTCTGGAGACGACGTCGTGAACGGTATGCCCAATGTTGTGTACAGGAAGTCGACAGATTCGGGGGCTGGAAGTTGCATGGTGTGGGGTGCTTTCTGTGGGAACAACCGTTCCCGACTTCTGGTCATCCGTGAAAACCTCACAGCTGCTGCTTACCGCGACCAGGTGCTCACCCCTGAACTCGTTCCTTTCATGGCGGCTCATGGCCCAGGTCTACAGTTCCAGCATGATAATGCTCGGCTGCATACCGCGATGTTGACACGAAATTTCCTTCAAAATGCTGGAATCAACGTCATGGATTGGCCATCGAGGTCCCCTGACCTTAATCCAATAGAGCACGTTTGGGATGCACTTGGGAGAAGGCTTCGTGGTCTTAGGAACCAACCTCAGAATTTGCAGGAACTTGGCGCTGCCTTGCAAGAGCAATGGCGCAGAATCCCAAACCACGTGTTCACGAGCATCAGACAGTCAATGAGGAGACGGTGTTTGGCAGTGGTGAATGTGCGGGGCGGCCATACACGATATTGAACTGAGAAATTTCGCATTTTTATTCTTGTGACTTGACATTCTGCATACCCATGTTTTGGAACGGCGGTGTAGCCTAATGGAACTGATTATGGCACTGTCAGTGTATCGAGTATATCACACAGATCTCAGCAATGAAATAATAACCATCTTAATTTAACCATCTTACCATCTCTTGCTCTTTTATAGTGCCCCGAAGAAAGAATGTTAAGTTTCTTTTTTGACTCAGTATATATCCTGATATTTTGGAGATTTTAATGCTACTGTTTGCTGACGAAGTGATATTAGTATGGGACTCAGTGGTAGGTTTACAGAATAATTAAACATTCTGGAGAACTACTCGAAAGAATGAAAATTAGATGTTAGTCTTGATAAGTAAAATAGTGTTGTATTGAGAAGGGGTGGACAAATCGCTAATGGCCAAAAATGGTCTTATAACGGCATTTCAATGCATCAATGCAAATAGTTTCTGAATACAAATATCTTGGAATACTTTTTAATTATTCATTGAATATGGGTAAAACTGCTGTTGCCTTATCAGCAAAAGCAAAAAAAAGCTCTGGTGTATTTACTTTCATCACTCTATCCATTAGCGCCAATAACACCAAAGATGCTTTTTAAACTTTTCGATGCACAGATAGAACCAATGCTTTTGCATGGGGCAGAGATATGGGGTTTCCAGACTTTGGAACCGATTGACAAAATCCATCTATTGGCATGTAAGAAGTTCCTTAATGTTAACATTACAACACCAAACTATATGGTATATGGAGAATGTGGAAGATACCCACTTTATATAAACTCCCACCTTCGCTGCATAAAATACTGGTTGAAAATACTTACAATGCATGAACAGCGTCTACCAAAACAGTCTTCTAACTTACTGCTTAATTTAGATAATATTGTAACATGGGCATCAAATATAAGATATCTGTTATTTCGTATGGATTTGGATATGTGTGGACTTTCGGAGGTGTCGGTAACGAGTTGTTGTTTATGAATGAATTTCGTCAAAGAGCCGTTGATATGTTTCGCAAGAATTGGATGAATACTCTTAATTTAAGTTCTAGATTTGATGTTTATAGGTCCTTTAAAACACTGATCGAACCTGAGACATATCTATCAAACATTACAAGCAAGAAACTTAGAAATACAGTTTTAACCTTTAGACTTAGCTTGACAGATATGATGATCAATACTGGCCGTAACAAGTCACTCGCCAAACATTTCAGATTTTGCCCTGTCTGTATGGCGGATATCGAAGACGATTATAATCTGTTATTTATATGTGACGCTTATGCCGGTTAAGAAAGGAGTACATTCCACAAAAATATCTGGGTCACCCTACAAGGGAAACACTTATAAGAATTCTATCATCAAAAGACGAAAGTGTCCATGTAAAATTAGCCCTGTTTTTAACACATTCGGTGTCGTTAAGGAAGAGTCTAATTTCTCCTGTCAACTAATTTAACAATGTTATTATGCTTTCCACTGTTTGCAATGTCCATACCTTGCCTGTCATTACAATACTATGTATACGGGCCAGAGTCGTTATGTACAATAAACCATCATGATCTTGAAATAAAAATATCAACATTCGTTGATGAAAGTAAAAATATCCCCGGCAAGCATCGGATATTTGTAACTTTATCACCTTTATATAACTGATATCAGAAGGCAATCGGGTGAGGTTCTCTATTTATTACACACGTGTTCTGAATATCTTTATGAGATCATTTTGGACATTTGAAACAGTTGCTTAGTAACCAGTTGAAGGTTATCCAACGAATGTTGTGTAACCAAACTAAGTTATTCAACGATAGTGACGTCATAATGTCGAATTTTCTGTTTCCACTTCGATATTTTAAATTAACATTTTAACTCTATTCAAGCAGTTTTTTTTGCGAAAACTGTCACAAACAAAACATTAGGTTTGTGGACAATTCAAATTTAATTTCGGGATTAGTATTATATTTTAATTGAATATTTTTAATTCATCTGTAAAGTAGTCGTGATAGAGTTATCTCCCTTTCATTTTGTTTGCGTTCGGTTTTGTCTGCTTGATTTGTCATCATGGATCAGACTGTTTTCCCGTCCTGTGTGTAACAGATAGATCACACGTCGTCATATGAGCGAAATATTCTCAAGCATGACGTTAAACCCAATTTCACCTCACCTCACCTCATCTCACCTCACCTCACCTCACCTCACCTCACAGATAGATCACCAAACTCGTATTTCAACTCAATATTGTTTTTGTTCGGTTTTGGGGGGTATTTTTTGGCAACGGACGATCTCATAAGATTGTTGCCCATTGAATTCTTACTTCTATACAGTATCGTGACTACAGGTTGACACCAGTACTTCCACCATTCGTACAGCTACATGGTCCTGGACTGACATTTTAACACGACATACTGAAGTTCTGACTCGCATCTTCTCGTGTAACGCCGGTGTCATTCTGACGCTCATTTACTCACGCTACGTCGATACTGATGTCACTCTGACGCGCATCTACTCACGCTACGTCGATACTGATGTCATTCTGACGCGCATCTACTCACGCTACGTCGATACTGATGTCATTCTGACGCGCATCTACTCACGCTACGTCGATACTGATGTCACTCTGACGCGCATCTACTCACGCTACGTCGATACTGATGTCATTCTGACGCGCATCTACTCACGCTACGTCGATACTGATGACATTCTGACGCGCATCTACTCACGCTACGTGGATACTGATGTCACTCTGACGCGCATCTACTCACGCTACGCCGGTGTTAATGTTACTCTAACGCGCATCTACTCACGTTACGCCGGTGTTAATGTCATTCTGACGCGCATCTGCTTACGTTACACCGATGTTGATGTCATGCTGACGCGCATCTGCTTACGTTACACCGATGTTAATGTCACTCTGACGCGCATCTACTCATGTTACGCCGGTGTTAATGTCATTCTGACGCGCATCTACTCACGTTACGCCGGTGTTGATGTCATTCTGACGCGCATCTACTCACGTTACGCCGGTGTTGATGTCATTCTGACGCGCATCTACTCATGTTACGCCGGTGTTAATGTCATTCTGACGCGCATCTACTCACGTTACGCCGGTGTTAATGTCACTCTGACGCGCATCTACTCACGTTACGCCGGTGTTGATGTCATTCTGACGCGCATCTACTCATGTTACGCCGGTGTTAATGTCATTCTGACGCGCATCTACTCACGTTACGCCGGTGTTACTGTCATTCTGACGTGCATCTACTCATGTTACGCCGGTGTTAATGTCATTCTGACGCACATCTACTCACGTTACGCCGATGTTGATGTCATTCTGACGCGCATCTGCTTACGTTACGCCGGTGTTAATGTCACTCTGACGCGCATCTACTCACGCTACGCCGATGCTGATATCATTCTGACGCGCATCTACTCATGTTACGCCGGTGTTAATGTCATTCTGACGCGCATCTACTCATGTTACGCCGGTGTTAATGTCTTTCTGACGCGCATCTACTCACGTTACGCCGGTGTTAATGTCATTCTGACGCGCATCTACTCACGTTACGCCGGTGTTAATGTCATTCTGACGCGCATCTACTCACGTTACGTCGATGTTGATGCCATTCTGACGCGCATCTACTCACGTTACGCCGGTGTTGATGCCATTCTGACGCGCATCTACTCACGTTACGCCGGTGTTAATGTCATTCTGACGCGCATCTACTCATGTTACGCCGATGCTGATGTCATTCTGACGCGCATCTACTCATGTTACGCCGGTGTTGATGCCATTCTGACGCGCATCTACTCATGTTACGCCGGTGTTAATGTCATTCTGACGCGCATCTACTCACGTTACGCCGGTGTTGATGTCATTCTGACGCGCATCTACTCATGTTACGCCGATGCTGATGTCATTCTGACGCGCATCTACTCATGTTACGCCGGTGTTAATGTCATTCTGACGCGCGTGTACTCATGTTACGCCGGTGTTAATGTCATTCTGACGCGCATCTACTCACGTTACGCCGATGTTGATGTCATTCTGAAGCACATCTACTCACGTTACGCCGATGTTGATGCCATTCTGACGCGCATCTACTCACGTTACGCCGGTGTTGATGCCATTCTGACGCGCATCTACTCACGTTACGCCGGTGTTAATGTCACTCTGACGCGCATCTACTCACGTTACGCCGATGTTGATGCCATTCTGACGCGCATCTACTCACGTTACGCCGGTGTTGATGCCATTCTGACGCGCATCTACTCATTTTACGCCGATGTTAATGTCATTCTGACGCGCTTCTACTCATTTTACGTCGATACTGATGTCACTCTGACTCGCATCTACTCACGCTACGTGGATACTGATGTCACTCTGACGCGCATCTACTCACGCTACGCCGGTGTTAATGTTACTCTAACGCGCATCTACTCACGTTACGCCGGTGTTAATGTCATTCTGACGCGCATCTGCTTACGTTACACCGATGTTGATGTCATGCTGACGCGCATCTGCTTACGTTACACCGATGTTAATGTCACTCTGACGCGCATCTACTCATGTTACGCCGGTGTTAATGTCATTCTGACGCGCATCTACTCACGTTACGCCGGTGTTGATGTCATTCTGACGCGCATCTACTCACGTTACGCCGGTGTTGATGTCATTCTGACGTTCATCTACTCATGTTACGCCGGTGTTAATGTCATTCTGACGCGCATCTACTCACGTTACGCCGGTGTTAATGTCATTCTGACGTGCATCTACTCATGTTACGCCGGTGTTAATGTCATTCTGACGCACATCTACTCACGTTACGCCGATGTTGATGTCATTCTGACGCGCATCTGCTTACGTTACGCCGGTGTTAATGTCACTCTGACGCGCATCTACTCACGGTACGCCGATGCTGATATCATTCTGACGCGCATCTACTCATGTTACGCCGGTGTTAATGTCATTCTGACGCGCATCTACTCATGTTACGCCGGTGTTAATGTCTTTCTGACGCGCATCTACTCACGTTACGCCGGTGTTAATGTCATTCTGACGCGCATCTACTCACGTTACGCCGATGTTGATGTCATTCTGACGCACATCTACTCACGTTACGCCGATGTTGATGCCATTCTGACGCGCATCTACTCACGTTACGCCGGTGTTGATGCCATTCTGACGCGCATCTACTCACGTTACGCCGGTGTTAATGTCATTCTGACGCGCATCTACTCATGTTACGCCGATGCTGATGTCATTCTGACGCGCATCTACTCATGTTACGCCGGTGTTAATGTCATTCTGACGCGCGTGTACTCATGTTACGCCGGTGTTGATGTCATTCTGACGCGCATCTACTCACGTTACGCCGATGTTGATGTCATTCTGACGCACATCTACTCACGCTACGCCGATGTTGATGCCATTCTGACGCGCATCTACTCACGTTACGCCAGTGTTGATGCCATTCTGACGCGCATCTACTCACGTTACGCCGGTGTTAATGTCACTCTGACGCGCATCTACTCACGTTACGCCGATGTTGATGCCATTCTGACGCGCATCTACTCACGTTACGCCGGTGTTGATGCCATTCTGACGCGCATCTACTCGTGTTACGCCGGTGTTAATGTCACTCTGACGCGCATCTACTCACGTTACGTCGATACAGATATCTATATAACATATTTACCAGTGTAAAACGTTTTTTTTAATTTGTTCATTATACTGTTTGCACAAATATATTAGTGATCTGACTTTCATAGACAGACATGGCGCGTGGTTGTTTGCTAACTGAAATGGTCCACTGTAACAATATCTACTTTTGACGCCACACGTAAAATTATGCCCCATTCAAACAAAGGCATATCTATTGAACTTTATGTGTAAAGTATACAACTCCTACATTACGATTACATTGCTGAAGTATCTTATATAGCAGTGTATAAACTTGCCAAATAGGGGTTTCAGGAGGGACACGATCAAAACCAAACCTCTCGGGCCTTAAATGTCAGATATTTTCAATCTGGAAACTGGAATTTTATGCATGTGTGTCTTTCCTTTTGTGAAATACGCAAGGATCTGTTTCAATGGCAGTTTAGAATTTGATGAATGATAAGAGAGGTGTGATACGTTATGGATAACAACTTCTTTATTGCATTATGATGTCATGTTTCGGTATAGATTCTTACACCGTTGTCAAGCAAGAGTAAAGTTATACAGCACAGAACCGACTTCTATACAAATGTATTAAGTGAGACAACATGAGGGAATTATCAAAGGGATTTACACCAAAAACATCAATGGATGATGGTAAAACTGCAGCAACAATAGGAGGAAGCCAACTGTGGAAGAGGCAGAACATAATATACATAGCAGATGGGATATATTAGCACTGATGGCTGTAGTGCTATGTTCTGTTGTTTTTATCAGTTCATTGTCGTCGGATGGGATGAGGTATCCTTGGTCTCTGTTGATTGACTGTGTTTCAGGTTGAGCACCCATCATTCCATGATGTGGGATTCAGCACGTGGGCTGATTGCTGCAACAGTCTGGGTCCTCCTCGTGTGGCAGTCGTCATGTCGTAAGTTCCCTTAAAAATACAAAACTCATTAACGATTGCATTAGGTTTACCAGTTTATTATGTGTCACACCTTCTTTCAGAAGCTAGCACTGAGTTAAAACTTATAACGTATGTTTCGTGTTTTATAGATCATCCTAAACTGAAAGGAAGAATGACGGCTACGAACACTTTCAGGTTACGATGTACAAAAACAGGCGGTTGGGGCATCACAGGACTGTTTTCAGTCTACTGGTACCGAAATGACACCCTTGTATTCGAAACATACAAACGGATCAGATCATATGTACACATCCTGGACAATAGCTTTGAAAAATCCGTTCATCTGAATATGGCTTGGAGGACCCACACTGTGACCGTTTCTCATGTGCACGAAGGCATGTCTATATGGAGGTGCAACAACAACAAGGACACAGCCACTTGGAGCAAACCAATTAAACTGTCAAGTAAGTGCAATAATAGTACTAATTATCATATTCATAATTATACAATGCATCGTCCCACTCAGTGTATCTGACCTGCTCAGTGTCCTTGTCGATAGATCAGTGTACTCGTGACTGCCATTTTCAGCTCCAAGGAAGCCCAAACTTCATATGTCTTGCTAGAATGTTTCCTGCCACATTACCATACCGAACTACCGGGTAACCATGCGATGCTAGGTGAATTGTCTGTACAAAATGAAGACCCATGGCATTAACTGACTGTGTGTCCCACATTCGTGCTGTCTATTTTGATGGCATGAGATAATTTTGCTCTTGGACAGTAAAGAAACAATCGCGGTATGTCTTAAGATATCAGTTGAATGACATATTTGGCAAATTTTGCTCAAGATGTCAGTTGCCATACAAGAAGGGACTTTTCTGAAGAATGACGTTGTTTCTTTTTTCTTCAGGTAGTACAGCAGGTGTTACACCTTTCACTCCTATTACGCAAACCCCTTTTGAAGGTGAGAACACAACATATCACTTGGGAAGATTCATTATTTTAGGAATACCAATCCCCAATCCAATTGATTGATCTTCTTTTATTCATTTTTAGTTGATAACTTGTGAGTGATGTTAGATGAGGTGAGGTGAAGTGAAATTGGGTTTAACATCGTGCTTGAGAATATTTCGCTCATATGACGACGTGCATGCGTGTGTATGTGTATGTATGTATGGTTTTATAGTGCTAGCCCACTGAGATACCATGCCGCATGAATACCCAACTCAGACACATTATACTGACTCCGAGCCGACCAGTCATTGTTGTACCCATTAATGCCGAGCGCCATATTTTAACGTATTTTGGTATGACGAGGCTGGGGATCGAACCCGCAACCTTCCGCTCTCCGGGCGGACGCTCTAACCATCACACCACAGAGGCGGTCAGTGATGTTAGATCTCACAACATAAACTATAGTGGCTCTGGGCCAGCACTCAAACAATACTTGTGCAGGTGCTTTTAATTCCATTTTAAATCGATTTTTTTTCATTTTCCTTCGAAAACAGATAAATGTATTTTTGTCGCCACATATCTGAGGTCTGAGGTTTGGGTCTAGCAGTTCCAAATTCTTCCAAAATTCTTTGGTCTTCACTAAGCCAGTGTATTGGTGTACACCATACATTTTCCAAACTGTTGCAGGAATGAGTGCTGCATAAAAGACATATGCAAATTTGAAAAGAGATATTCTAAATACATAAAACATTCTCTGTATATTTATATACGAAGATTTGAAAGGAATCCTAAGTATGCAATGCCCTGCTTGCCTGTGCATGTGTTTATGACACGTGTTCTTCATGTAGTCAGGGAATATAATAAGATTTGCTTTTAGCACAGGTTTCTTAAGATTCTATTTTTTCGCTTTCATCTAGTTCATATTTCCCTTTCTGTGATGAGAGACCATTGTTAATTATTTCACTATAGGACTTTGTGATTCGATCATTTTGTCGAAAACATGTTCATTGAATCTTTCAGGAAATGTTACGCTAAATGTCTATCCAGACAAGATCTTCGATGATGGCAATCTTACTGTAAGCTGCACAGTGGAGACTGGAGGACAGTTCAACATTTCCAATATGGTTTGGCTTCAAAACTCTGAAGAAATCTTCGTGACCTTCAGTAACGGAAGTCATCTCGTCTTGGACAACTCCACCAAGCCTGCTGTGATGGATGTGACACAGAGCTACAACCAGCACAACGTAACCATGGTAGCCAGTCTCTATGACGCTATGAATGGCACTGAATGGACATGCGGAATCCCAGTGTTTTCGACAATGAGTAACACTGTGTTCATACAGGTCTTGGAACCAACAGGTAAGATTAGGCTTGGGAGGCTTGGGAAGTGTGTATATAAAGCATAGTTGTCCAGCCGGCTCTTAGAAACATGCACTGGGATTGGACGAGGCTCATATATCCACGAAGCGACCTTGTTGTTCAGAATATTAGTGATCCAAGTATTTTTCTTTTGTTAAAGATGGGCACAAAATCTTATGCTGTATAATTTACGAGAACGGATCATTATATTTGAAGGCAATGTCGCGCATACGCATATTCGATCTTATTCCAGGGAATGTCAGCCTTGATGTTTACCTAGAGGAGATACAGAACGGCACAAGGTATTCTTTATCGTGCACTGTGGAGACGGAGGACCCTGTACGTGCGTCACCTATGACATGGCGTCAGAACTGCGAAGAATACATTGTGACCTTCGGTAACGGAAGTTATGACATTGTCGGCAATTCGACCTCTACTGTTATTGGTGAGATCAAAGCGAGTAACAGTCAACACAATCTAACTCTTTTGGCTATCAACGATGATTCGAAGTCTACGACATGGACTTGTGGAATTGAAAAGTGGCAATGGTACAGCAACAACGTATCAATAACGGTGCGGAAACACTTTTCGACAAGTGAGTATCGTAATTTAATATGCGTGCGTGCGTGTGTGCATGCGTGTATAACTCTTGCATTGGTCCGGAACAAAAGGCCAAATTGTGCCAGCTTTGAAGGTGAGAACACAACACATCACTTGGGAAGATTCACTTTTTAGGAATACCAATCCCCACTCCAACTGGTTGATCTTCTTTTATTTATGTGTATTCTGTTCATCGTCAATGTTTCGTTAAAACGGGTTATTAAATTAACAACAAAAATCGTTAATGCTAAACTTTGCAACAAAGACACACTACCTGATTTTATCATGTTTCATTTTCAGTTGATAACTTAGGCGAGTGATGTTAGATCTCACAACATGAACTATAGTGGCTCTTGGCCAGTACTCAAATAATACTTCTGTAGGTGCTTTTATATACATTTTAAATCAATTTTTGTGGTTTTACTTCGAAAACAGATTAATGTACATTTGCCGCAAAAAAATTTACATTTCCAATAGTGTTCAGATCTTGCAGTTCCAAATTCTTCCAAATTTCTTTCAAACGTCTTCACTAAACCAGTGTATTGGTGTACACCATGCTTTTCCCAAACTGTTGCAGGAATGGGTTCTGCTTAAAATGACATATGCAAATTTAGACAGAGATATTTGAATACATAAAACACACTCTGTATATGTATTGCCACTCAGATTATATACGGGGATTTGAAAGGAATTCTAAGAATGCAATGCCCTACTTCTTTCATTGTACCACCTGTTCCCGTGTTTGTTCAGGTGAACGCTTCACTTGCCTCTGCATGTGTTTATGACACGTGTTCTTCATGTAGTCAGGGAATATAATAAGATTTGCTTTTAGCACAGATTTCTTAAGATTCTGTTTTTTCGCTTTCATCTAGTTCATATTTCCCTTTCTGTGATGAGAGATCATTGTTAATTATTTCACTATAGGACATTGTGATTCGATCATTTTCTCCAAAACATGATCATTGAATCTTTCAGGAAATGTTACGCTAAATGTCTATCCTTACAAGATCTTCGATGATAACAACTTTATTGTAAGCTGCACAGTGGAGACTGGAGGACAACAAAATATTTCCAGTATGGTTTGGCTTCACAACTCTGAAGAAATCTTCGTGACCTCCAGTAACGGAAGTTATCTCGTCTTGGACAACTCCACCAAGCCTGCTGTGATGGATGTAACACAGAGCTACAACCAGCACAACGTAACCATGGTAGCCAGTCTCTATGCCGCTGAATGGCACTGAATGGACATGCGGAATCCCAGTGTTTTCGACAATGAGTAACACTGTGTTCATACAGGTCTTGGAACCAACAGGTAAGATTAGGCTTGGGAGGCTTGGGAAGTGATATACACATCATAGTTGTTCAGCCGGCTCTTCAAAACATGCACTGGGATTGGATGAGTCTCATATTCCTCGCAGCGTCCTTGTTGTTCAGAATATTTGTGATCCCAGTATGTTCTCTTGTTAAAGATGAGCACCAATTCTTACTTTGCATAATTACGGGAACGGATCATTATATTTGAAGGCAATGTCACACATACACATATTCTATCTTTTTTTTCAGGGAATGTCAGCTTGGATGTGTACCCAGGGGAGGTACAGAAGGGTACAGGCTATTCTTTATCTTGCACAGTGAAGACGGAGGACCCTGTACGTGCGTCACCTATGACATGGCGTCAGAACTGCGAAGAATACATTGTGACCTTCGGTAACGGAAGTTATGACATTGTCGGCAATTCGACCTCTACTGTTATTGGTGAGATCAAAGCGAGTAACAGTCAACACAATCTAACTCTTTTGGCTATCAACGATGATTCGAAGTCTACGACATGGACTTGTGGAATTGAAAAGTGGCAATGGTACAGCAACAACGTATCAATAACGGTGCGGAAACACTTTTCGACAAGTGAGTATCGTAATTTAATATGCGTGCGTGCGTGTGTGCATGCGTGTATAACTCTTGTACTGGTCCGGAACAAAAGGCCAAATTGTGCCAGCTTAGTTCAATACCAAGCTTGCCAATCTTATTCCCCATTTCCTTGTTCCCCTTTTCCAAAGGGACTAAGACGCAACAACGTGTACCATCATTTAACGTTGACTGATAGGACTGGTCTCAGCAGGAGACTGAGTACTAACACTCTGCCCACCAGACCATCTTGTTAAAATGCCTATGTGCCGATGTTAGAAGTCATGTCTTATATAATGTTACAAGAACACATTCAAATGATTCTTATCAATGAGTGTGATAACTGGAGGGATGACAATGGGTTGAATTGTTGAAGGTGATGACAATGGGTTGAATTGTTGAAGGTGATGACAATGGGTTGAATTGTTGAAGGTGATGACATTGGATTGAATTGTTGAATCCTGAGCTAGTGTAGTCGACAAAGGTAACATCACTACATATATGAAGGAGCACAACATAACGCTCGCCACTAACTATTTACACGTAAACCATCACATGCTACGAACGCTTCATTTCTATTTTACACACTCACATTCACAGCCCCGGGTGTGACAGGTTCACCACCGACGTCAGACAGCAACAAGGGTAAGCAAATACTCATACCATGCACACTTGAAGGTGTTATAATGTGTTGTGTCTACTGGACGATGATTACATCAATTAGAAAGATTGGTACAGTCCGTTGTCTTAACGCGGTTTGACCATACCTCATTTGTGGTCAGAATCGAGGACAGTTTGTTTTTGTTTATATTATAAAAACTTTCCGCTGTGATATTCTGAGTAAACAGATGAAAATGCTTGAACTACTGACCTTTCACTTTCCAGGACATCAGTCTGTAGAAGACAGAACACAGCTGTACACCATCCTTGGGTGCACCGTCGGCGCAGTTGCTCTGACTGTCGTCATCTTTGTCATCGTCATCAGAAATCGAAAGAAGGCAGGTGAAATTAAAGGTGTGTTTCCTATTTTCTTCCTATCAATGAGTGAATGTAGAGCAAATGAGGACAGCATTGAATGCTAAACCACATCAATGAATGTTTCGGCATTGTCGACAAGCTGCTGCTACACACAATATATTTTATGATACAGCGTGACGATCAGGACAATGTGTGGTCTGGTATTCTCACTCACTCGTGTACTCACGCACGAACGCACGCACGCACTGACTTCGAACTCCGAACTCCCATATCAAACACATAACCGTCGGCTAAGCATTTATTGTTTATTTCATACTAAGAGCCTTCAAGTATTGATGTAGGCTTTCTTTTCACAAACGCTTTGCTGTCTTCGTTTAATAATATTATGTATCAAATATCATTTTGACTTATACAAACATTTATTTTGATTCAGAACAAAGGGGACCAGGACACGAGAGGTAAGTAAATGTCACTGAATGATTAATTTAGGGAAAATATGTTTTCAAGTAATCGCAGTATTAGATCAAGGCCATTGTGAAATTATTACAAAAAACATACATAAATTAAAAGTGAAATCAGAGTGAACAGAAAGAGCCGCGACCGCTTCAAAATGAAGATCCGGGTTAGAATTGATCATCAGATGCTTGTGGTAAGAGGCGACTAACGGGATCGGGAAAGCAGGCTCGCCCACATGGTTAACTCAATGACATACATGCATATGTCATCGTATCCCAGTTGTGTAGATCGATGCCCATGTTGTTGATCACTGGATTGTCTGGTCCAGACTCGTTTACTTACAGACCGCCGCATAAAGCTGGAATATTGCTGAGTTCAGTTAATAACTAAACTCACACACTCACTCAATAAAAAAAGCCTCAACTAAAATAACCATGAATCTTTGTTGTTTTTTTTAGGTTGTTTTTATTTTATAAAACAAAAATAACTATGTTCTACGTGAATTTATTTAACTTTTTAAAATATATTTGTTATGATTGATTCTTTTGTATCCTCAGTGCACCGTGCGTTGAAGATGCAGATGTTTTAGGTAAGATAGTACTGTTAACGCAAGTAGAACCAGGATTTCTTTAACAGCAAATATACGGACTTCGTTGGGGTACGTTTCGTAGTTAGTTCGGCTAGTTCTCTATGCTTTGTTGTAAATGGCGACATACTTGTATTGGCTTGTCACCGTTCCTTGACGGAGTGGACCGTTGCTCATATCTGTCAGTGTTTTGTCTTAGTGAAATAGTTCCCATGTACCGGATATACTGCTGTGTAATATTACAAATACGATTACAACGACAAAAGATACATTGTTTTCCTGACACCATTACCCAGTCCTAACTCCATATATTTCATAGCCATCCGCAGCGTACTTGAAACCTATCTAATATATCCATATAGATATTTCAAATAACTAATAACAAATATTTTTACATACAGTGTGATGTGTAATCACTGTTAATCGTTGTACATTAACTGAAACTATCCTCAACGCTTTCAGACAAAACGAACCTGAATAGTTTGTAAGGTAAATATTGAATATCTGTTTGTTTTATGTATGTTTCAGAAATGAAGGATAATGTTATATATGAATCCAGCCCAAATGACAAACAAGATGATGAAAAAGGTAAAATACCAAATGTGCGTACAAAGATAATTTGGGTGATCATGGAAACAGTGTCTAAAGGCAACCAGCTGAATTTCCGCCTTGCTTGGTGAGAGGCTTGCTTGTTGATACAAACAGGGATGTGCAATGTGTTGTGTGTTTGGATTGTATGTGTGGGAACATTTTATGAAGTGGCACGAGTGAGTGAGTGAGTTGGGCGGGCTGGTGTTTGGGTGAGTGAGTGATTGAGGGAGGGAGACGGGAAGAGGGAGTGAGTGAGTGATCGGGCTGGTTGTTGGATGGTTAGGTGAGTGAGTGATTGAGGGAGGGAGGGAGGGAGGGAGGAGCGGGGAGGGAGGGAGCGAGGAGGGATTTGGGAGGGAGTGGGTGATTGAGGGAGGGAGCGAGTGAGTGAGTGGTCGGGCTGGTGGTTGGGTGTTTTGGTGAGTGTGTGAGTGATTGAGTGAGTGAGGGAGGGAGGGAGCGAATGAGGGAGGGAATGGGGGAGGGAGCGAGTGATTGAGTGTTTGAGTGAGGGAGTGAGTGGGTGAGTGAGTGAGGGAGTGGTAAGAATGACGGTTTGGGACATGGACTGTCAACATCGCACACATGTGCGTGTGAGTGAATGAGTGGTTGGGTGTTTAGCTGAGTGAGTGAGTGATCGGGGTGGTATTTGGGTGAGTGAGTGAGTGGTCGGGGTGGAGGTTTGGTGTTTGGGTGAGTGTGTGAGTGATTGAGGGAGGGAGGGAATGGGGGAGCGAGGAGGGAGTGGGGAGGGGGAGTGATTGAGCGATTAACGGAGGGGAAGGAGGAAGCGGGGAGGGAGGGAGAGTGGGGAAGTGATTGAGGGAGGGAGGGAGGGAGGGAGTGGGGGAGGGAGCGAGTAATTTAGGGAGGGAGGGAGTGGGTGAGTGAGGGAGTGGTAAGGATGACGGTTTGGGACATGGACTGTCAACATCTCACCCATGTGTCCAGGCTCCTCTAGGCTATCCTACTGCCCCTAGTAATGTCATTCCTACGGATGTTTCAGTGATGGCGGACACCGTGCTGTATGAGTCCAGCCCGGCTGACGGCCAGGATGTAGACAGGGACAAAGGTGCGTCAAGAATTTCACTTATTTTATGAAGTGTCACGAGTGAGTGAGTGAGTTGGGCAGGCTGGTGGTTGGGTGGTTAGGTGAGTGTGTGAGTGATTGAGTGAGGGGGGGGGGGAGTGAGTGAGTTGGGGAGGGAGCGAGTGATTGAGTGATTGACTGAGGGAGGGAGTGACTGAGTGAGGGAGTGGTAAGAATGACTGTTTGGGACATGGGCTATCAACATCGCACCCATGTGCGTGTGTGTGAGTGCGTGGGCGGGCTGGTGATTGGGTGTTTGGGTGAGTGAGTGAGTGAGTGAGCGGGGTGGTGTTTGGGTAAGTGAGTGAGTGAGTGAGTGGTCGGGCTGGTGGTTGGGTGTTTGGGTGAGTGTGTGAGTGATTGAGTGAGGGAGGGAGTGGGGGAGAGAGGGAGTGGAGAGAGAAGGAGCAAGGAAGTGAGTGATTGAGGGAGCGGAAGGGAGTGGGGAGAGTGGGGGGAGGGAGGGAGTGATTGAGGAGAGGGGATGGAGCAAGGGAGTGAGTGAGTGGTCGGGCTGGTGGTTGGGTGTTTGGGTGAGTGGGGAGTATTTGAGTGAGTGAGTGAGGGTGTGGGGAGCTAGGGAGGTAGCGTGGGGGTGGAGGGAGGGAGGGGGAGCGAGTAAGTGAGTGGTCGGGCTGGTGGTTGGGTGTTTGGGTGAGTGTGTGAGTGATTGAGGGAGGGAGGGAGCGGGTGAGGGATCGAGCGAGTGATTGAGTGAGGGAGTGGGGGAGTGAGGGAGTGGTAAGAATGACGGTTTGGGACATGGTCCGTCAACATCTCACCCATGTGTCCAGGCTCCTGTAGGCTATCCTACTGCCCCTAGTAATGTCATTCCTACGGATGTTTCAGTGATGGCGGACAACGTGCTGTATGAGTCCAGCCCGGCTGACGGCCAAGATGTAGACAGGGACAAAGGTGCGTTAAGAATTTCACTTATACGTCATTACAATCAGCCTCAACTGTTGGCAGAGGTGTTGGACTAAGTGTCCAACTGCCTATACACGTCAGTCTCTGCATGTCTGTTTATCGGGTCCCTGTCACCAGGTTCATTGAATGAGATTGCATCCCGACCAGCGATAGCCCTAGTTCATTTGTCCATTGCACAGTGTTTACGTGTGTGTTTGTGTGTGAGTGCTTCTGTGTGAGCGTTGTGTGTGAGTGTTTGTGTGAGCGTGTGTAAAGTGTCTGTGTGTGAGCGTGTGTAAAGTCTTTGTGGACAGAAGGACTCGCCCGAACACCTCCAGTTCATGGACATTCTAAAACGTTCGAGCGAACGCGCATTTGAAACTGACATTTTTGCTGCTGCATCCCGTGCAGATTAGCACGTGGTTGCTTCATTTTCGGTTCTTGACTTATATGAGAGCAGTCACACTTTGGTGACCGTCTCCTTGTGTATCTTTCTGATATAAATGAATGAATTTTGAAGTAACTTTTGAATATTATGTCTAATTTGTAGACATTATTTGAGAAACTTGAAATTTGATAGTTATTGAAGAATTCATTGAAGGCATTAGAGATCACACATTTGGTGTCTCCTTTGTGTAGTGTCGTATTTGGACACGCCGTTGTAGAGTTCATATTTGTGAACACGCCATTGAACAGTGTCATATTTGGACACACTCTTATAGTGTCAATATTTGGAGACACATATTGTGTCATAATTGGACACATCAATATTTCTGTAAATATATTTGTACATATTGGGGACTATAAACTCTTGGGAATAAAACTGTAAAAAACTACAGAAAAGTGCTCTGTTGTCCTTTGACTACGTAATTTACCAGCTTCCACTGCGTTCCACTTTGTGTGTGAGTGTTTGTGTATGAGCGTGTGTAAAGTGTTTATGTGTGAGTGATTGTGTGTGTCAGAATTTGCGTGTGTCAGTGTTTATTTCTGTCAATGATTGAGTGAGTGTTTGAATGTCAGTGTTTGTGTATTTGAGTGTTTATGTGTGTGAGTGTTTGTGTGTGAGTGTTTGTTTGTATGAGTGTTTGTGTGTGTCAGTGTTTATGTGTTTAAGTTATTGTTTTTGTGTGTGTGAGTGTATGTCAGTGAGTGAATATCTATGTGTTTTATGTGTGTTTCAGAAGTGAAGGATAATGTTATATATGAATCCAGCCCAAATGACAAACAAGCTGATGAAAAAGTTAAACCACCAAATGTGCGTACAAAGACAATTTGATTAGTCACGGAAACAGTGTCTAAAGGCAACCAGCTGAATTTCCGCCTTGCTGGGTGAGAGGCTTGTTGATACAAACAGGGATGTGCAATGTGTTGTGTGTTTGGATTGTATGTGTGGGAACATTTTATGAAGTGTCACGAGTGAGTGAGTGAGTTGGGCGGGCTGGTGTTTGGGTGAGTGAGGAAGGGGGGGAGGGAGACAGGGAGTGCGGGAGAGAGTGAGTGAGTGGTCGGCATGGTGGTTGGGTGGTTAGGTGAGTGTCTGAGTGATTGAGCGAGGGAGGGAGGGAGTGAGTGAGAGAGGGAGTGGGGGAGTGGTAAGAATGACTGTTTGGGACATGGGTTGTCAACATTGCACCCATGTGCGTGTGTGGGAGTGCGTGGGCGGGCTGGTGATTGGGTGTTTGGGTGAGTGAGTGAGTGGTTGGGGTGGTGTTTGGGTAAGTGAGTGAGTGAGTGAGTGGTCGGGCTGGTGGTTGGGTGTTTAGGTGAGTGTGTGAGTGATTGAGTGAGGGAGGGAGTGGGGAGCGAGGGAGGTAGCTGGGAAGGAGTGGGGGAGGGAGGGAGGGAGCAGGGGCGGGAGGAAGGGAGCGAGTAAGTGAGTGGTTGGGTGTTTGGGTGATTGTCCGGGTGACTGAGTGTGGGAGAGAGGGAGCGAGTGAGAGAGGGAGCAAGTGATTGAGTAATTGAGTGAGGGAGGGAGGGAGGGAGGGAGTGGGTGAGTGAGGAAGTGGTAAGAATGACGGTTTGGGACATGAGCTGTCAACATCTCACCCATGTGTCCAGGCTCCTCTAGGCTATCCTACTGCCCCTAGTAATGTCATTCCTACGGATGTTTCAGTGATGGCGGACAACGTGCTGTATGAGTCCAGCCCGGCTGACGGCCAAGATGTAGACAGGGACAAAGGTGCGTTAAGAATTTCACTTATACGTCATTACAATCAGCCTCAACTGTTTGCAGTGGTGTTGGACTAAGTGTCCAACTGTCTATACACGTCAGTCTCTGCATGTCTGTTTATCGGGTCCCTGTCACCAGGTTCACTGAATGAGATTGCATCCCGACCAGCGATAGCCCCAGCTCATTTGTCCATTGCGCAGTGTTTGCGTGTTGATGTGTGTGTTTGTGTGTGAGTGCTTCTGTGTGAGCGTTTGTGTGAGTGTTGTGTGAATGCTTATGTGTCATTTTTTGTGTGTAAGCGTGTGTAAATTGTCTGTTTGTGTTTGCGTGTGAGCGTGTGTAAAGTGTTTGTGTGTGAGTGTTTGTTTGTGTGCGTGTGTAAAGTTGTTTAGGTGTGAGTGATTGTGTGTGAGTGTATGTATTAGTGTCTGTGTATGAGTGTTTGTGTGTGTCAGAATTTGCCTGTGTTAGTGTTTATGTTTTCAGTTGTTGTGTGAGAGTATGTGTATGTCAGTGTTTGTGTGTCGGTGTGTGTGTGTGAGTGTTTATGTGTGTCAGTGTTTGTGTGTGTCAGTGCTTATGTGTCGGTTTTTGTGTGTGTTTGTGTGCGAGTGTATGTCAGTGTTTCTGTCTGTGAGTTATTGTGTGTGTCAGTTTTTGTGTGTACCAGTGTTTGAGTGTTTCAGTGTTTGTGTGTGGTCGTGTTTGAGTGTGTCAGTGTTTGTTGGGGAGTGTGTGTCTGTGTCAGTGTTTGAGTGTTTCAGTGTTTGTATGTGTTCGTGTTTGTGTGTGTCTGTTTGTGTGTGTCTGTTTGTGGATGAGTGTTTGTGTGTTTCAGTGTCTGTGTGTGTCAGTGTTTGAGTGTGTTATTGTATGAGTGTGTCAGTGTTTGAGTGGATCAGTGTTTGAGTGGATCAGTGTTTGATTGTGTCATTGTTTGAGTGTGTCAGTGTTTGAGTGTATCAGTGATTGAATGTATGAATGTTTCAGTGTATGGGTGTTTGAGTGTGTCATTGATTGATTGTGTCAGTGTTTAATTGTGTCGGTGTGTGTGTGTCAGGGTGTGTGTGTATGTGTGTGTCAGTGTTTGAGTGTATAAGACGTTGAGTGTCAGTGTTTGAGTGTGTCAGCATTCGAGTGTATCAGTGATTAATGTATGAATGTTTCACTGTTTGAGTGTGCCATTGATTGAGTGTGTCAGTGTTTCAGTGAGTCAGTGTGTGTGTATGTGTATTTGTTAGTGTCAGTGTGTGTGTCACTGTTTGTGTGTGTCAGTGTGTGTTCGTTACTGTCTGTGTGTCGGTGTTTGATTTGTCAGTGTTTGAGTGTCTCAGTGTTTGAGTGAGTCAGTGTTTGTGTGCGTTTGTGTTTGTATGTGTCTGTTATTGAGTGTCAGTATTTGGGTGTATCAGTGTTTAAGTGTGTCAGTGTTTGAGTGTGTCAGTGTTTGAGTGTGCCTGTATGTGAGTGTTTCAGTGCTTAAGTGTATCAGTGTTTAAGAAAGTCAGTAATTTCAGTGTGTCACGATCAGTGTTTGAGTGTGTAAGTATTTGAGTGTGTCAGACTTTGAGTGTCAGTGTTTGAGAATGTCAATGTTTCAGTGTGTGAGTATTTGAGTGTGTCAGACTTTGAGTGTCAGTGTTTGAGTGTGTCAGTGTTTGAGTGTGCCTGTGTTTGAGTGTTTGAGTGTGTGTGTGTTTGTCAGTTTCTGTGTGTGTCACTGTTTGTCAGGCAGTGCGTGTGTGTTACTGTTTGTGTGTCAGTGTGTGTTTGTTACTGTTTGTTTGTCAGTGTTTGTGTGTGTCAGTGTTTATGTTTGTCAGTTTTTGTGTTTGTTTGTGTGTGAGTGTATGACAGTGTTTCTGTCTGTGAGTTATTGTGTGTGTTATTGTCTGTGTGTGTCAGTGTTTATGAGTGAGTGTTTGTGTGTGTCAGTGTTTGAGTGTGTCAGTGTTTGTTGGGGAGTGTTTGTGTGTGTCAGTGTTTCAGTGTTTCAATGTTTGTGTGTGTTCGTGTTTGTGTGTGTCAGTGTTTCAGTGTTTCAATGTTTGTGTGTGTTCGTGTTTGTGTGTGTTCGTGTTTGTGTGTGTCAGTGTTTCAGTGTTTCAATGTTTGTGTGTGTTCGTGTTTGTGTGTCAGTATTTTTGTCTGATTGATTGTGTGTTTCAGTGTTTGTGTGTGTCATTGTTTGTCTGTTGGTGTTTGTCAGTTGTTTGGTAAGTGTTTTTCCAAGTGTTTGTCTGGTGAATATCTGGTTTTTGTTTGATTATTGCCTGGTCGGATTTTGTCGCATATTTGTAAGCCATTTGTAAAATCTTTGTCAGCTTTGTTTCTAAAGTTGTCAGATCTCCATACAGTGCTTGTCCGAACCACAACATACGGGGACAGAACATTTTGCAGAGCGGGTGCTATAAATTGGAAATGATTGCCTGAAAATGTCAGAAAATTAGAAAATAAGAAAATATCAAGAGTTTCCGATCTTGTCTCAAAACCATCCTCTTCAAACGAACATTCGACTACGCACACATGAGCAGGATTCTGGATATGTAACGCTGTACAAATGTCAGATTTGATTTGATTCGTCAGATGTTCGTATGGTGTTGTCAGATGTAGATAGGACGTTTGTCAGATGTCCGTTAGTTGTCCTTATGTTTTTTATCAAATGCTCAGTGGTTTTCGTCAAATGTTCATATGGTTCTTGTCAAATGCTCATATGGTGTTCGTCAGATGTTTATATGGTGTTCGTCAAATGCTCATATGGTGTAACCCGTGAAGATCCGGGTTAGAATGAATCTTTTGTACCCCATGCTTGTCGTAAGAGGCGACTAACGGGATCGGGTTGTCAGGCTCGCTGGCTTGGTAGACACATGTCATCGGTTCCCAATAGTGGCGTAAAACTATACCCACTCTCCTGGTTGAAGTCTACCACGGAGGCATTTCCCACCTAATGACGCACGTGCAACTGTTTCAGTGATGAAGGAGAACGACTTGTACGAATCCACCCCGACTGACGTCCACCACGATGACAACAAAGGTGAGTCCAGAATTTTAATGAAACTGTTGGCAGTGGGCCTGGAATAGCTCTTGTCTTCGGTGACTATGTGGGCCAGGCTTTGATTGGGTTTGTCCGTACCCAAACAATGCAAGCGTGAGTGAGTGAGTGAGTGGGTGAGAAAGAGAGAGCGAGTATTCGTGGTAGTTGGGGAAGGTGGAGGAGGGGGAAACTGTTTCTAAATTAAAACAACCTTTGAAATGTTATTTCCGGATGCAAAGATGATCCTGGTTATTTGTGTGATTGTTAAATGTCTCCCACGAATTACGAAATGCACATTTAAAATGCATTTTAATGCAGCCAAGATTAGTAATTATTTGGTGGAACTCAAGGATCACAAGCACTGAATTATGCCAGATTGGCTGGGATTGCCTTGAATTGTCTTGTGTTTTGTTTTCCTTATACGGAATATAATATACGGACACAACAGCCGGATACAACAGCTTGTATTTCCCCTTGGTTCGTTTCTTGCAGGCAGTAGCGACGGAGACAACGGCAGCAACGTCGGCTCTGGAGCAACCTAAAGCGTGAAGTCGGTAAACAGTTGCAGCCCGAAATGCATCAGGTTGGGGTATATGTCGGTGCCTGAGTCTACCACAAATCAAATTCACTATTATCAAGTACTGGTTGGGGCTTGCTTTCAGTAACGGCAGGTCCGTATCTAGGATGGGATAATCAGGCAACATGCCTAGCTGCTCTCCTGGGTCTCGATCCACAAAGCGTTCCTAACGTTACGACCTGTGGTAACTCTATACCTTCAGTTTGTCATAAACTTACGAATGTCGTAGCACCTGACATTAGAACTTGAATGTTATGCTTCATTTCAACTCTAATCACCACGATATCCCAATAGAATATATTAGAAATGTGTCTAGCCAATACACCGCAAAAGTGGCAATGTGTATACATGCACTATTAAACAAGTAGGAGATATCCAATAAAAAGGGTTGTACAACTATTGATATTTAAATATATCTTTAATGAGATAAATAGTTTAACAGTGTAACAGGGAGATTTGTTTTAGACGTTGAATATCAGTGAAGCTCATCTCCAATTTGAAAGTACATTGACCGCGTTTTGTAACACAGTCGTTCTGCTGAAATGGTCTTGTGCACCAGTTGACGATCTTGGGAGACCAGATCGACATTATTCTGTCGATATAGTGACTGTAATCTGCTAATTACTGACAGTCAATGTGTTTTCTAGGTGCTGGTGACACAATGCCAACATGACAATTGCTCGTTGTCGTTCCCGACGTGACAGACGCCGGATGTCAAAAACAGTTAAATTGAGTTTAGATAAATTTCAGAACAACTTCCAGTTTATCGTTTATCACTAAAATGCATCACACCGACACAGTTCACTATAAATTTCGAGTTTTACTCCGACGATATTCAAGCGAACATCATGAGAAACGCTTGCATGTTCCAAAATGCTATCACCACCAGTGAGTTTACATTTCCGCCACTTTTAGCAATATTCCATCAATATCACGGCGGGGAGACCAGAAATGGGCCTCACACATTGTACCCATGTGGGTAATCGAACCGGGTCTTCGGCATGACGAGCGAACGCCTTAACCACTGGGCTACCCCACCGCCCCTTTTTACTAGTATATATAACATCCCTGACCCACAACAAGTAAATAGGAATCAGATGTTCCCCAATCTTCAGGGCGGAACGAGACATGCGAGACCTAGGATTGGGTGATGCTGTGTAAGAATGTAATGCTGTTGTAAATATTCATCCATCCAGTAATTAGAACTCACCACATTTTGCAATATTCAGAGCTGTCCTTTTCAGCAAGATGTCTTATGCTGAATGTATACACGGATCTGGTTAAGTAGGGGGCACTTGATGCGGAACTTAATGTGCTCAGCTTACAGTACACGGAACTGATTCAGCTTGTCAGAATCTGTGCTTTTAATACAGCTCTAGAGCTTTATATTAGACATATATGGGAAGACATTCAGTTTCGCGCAATCCACAATCACATCTCAGACGTTCCTGTAGGGCAACTAAAAATAGCCTGTTGCCAAGGTCACCACGTCCGAGCACACAAACGAGAATGACTCAAGCATGAGTACGTGTTGCATTTATAAACATTTGTCTTTTTTTCTTCGAGATTTGAGAATTGCTTTTACTTTCTGGACGGTGATGATGTTAACTGACGTTTTGATAAGCTTTGATATGCTTCTGGTAGTAAAAAGACATCAGTCTTCTATTAAATCTATCATTTGTGAAGAAACCTGGAAAGGAATAAAGGAAGACTTGTACTTCCATGTGTTCCCTTATTTGTTTCCTTGAGTATATATACATGGAGATATATTTTCATGATGATTATTTCTGCATTTAGAAAGCTCCATTTGTTTCTTTTCTTTATATCAAGTATTTTCATATGTGAACCTATTTTGTTTACTATATATCCCAGTATTGTTCTACTGGTATATTCATGTTTATACAGAGTCTATTTTCAAGTACTGTCACCTATGTTGTTTCGCTAATGCATTGTTTTTTTGTTTGTTTTAGCTTTTGCGAAGTTCTTTCATTGTGTTATCGACATTGGTATAAATTTAGAATAAAATTGATTTATTGAAAGGTCTATACATTATCTTTGGTAATGTCATCAAAGGCGATTGGTGAGTGAGTGAGTGAATAGTGGTAATGTCGATCCGTAATGTTCATGTTCATGTGATACGACTTTAAATATTCGTAATCAGGGGTACACACAGAATACCACCCTCTTTCCTTTTGGTGTCAAGTATATCATCACGCGTCGATCATCAAAAATCATTCTTCCAACAATGTCAGGTTGTAAACCGTAATCGTCTTAATATAGAACAAACTTTATGGAAAACAATATATGTTATGTCGTGAGTGCAAAGAGATGTACACAAACTGAGATGTTTATACAGCAGATTGGAGTTGGTGGGCTGGTTAGTTTGTTGTTTGACGCTGTACTCAGCTAACAGCTATATGCCAACGGTCTGTAAATAATCGAGTCTGGACCAGACAATCCAGTGATCAACATCAAGAGCATCATTCTACACAGTTGGGATTCGATGACATATGTCAAACAAGTCAGCAAGCCTGACCACCCGATCCACTTACGACAAGCATGGATTGTTGAAGACCAATTCTAACCCGGATCTTCACTGGTCAACCACAACGAAAGGAACGTATATATTTATTTAGTTCTCACGGCAGTTAAGCTGTTGCATTAATCGCAATATTCAAGATATCTGCATGACATTACAAGTGGTGATTCCATGGGTTTTTTCCCCCTTGGATCATTAGATAAATCATTATGCTGTGTGAAATAGATACTGCTAAACGTCTCCGTTGTTTTCCAAACAGAGCATAGATAAGCTAACATTATACAATGCTAATCTTTCAAAGTGAATGGCTGTGAAAGTTTTAGGATGTATATCTAATGACAGAGCTGCTACATGATACAACTTCCTTGTCACGGTGTCCATTGATGTACAGACCCGAAAGTACTTGACTCTATGACGCAGTGTACTGTAGCTGCCTTCACACAGGCTTAACCCGCCCTCGTGAATGACAATAGAGTGAATGTTGGTATATTTTCCCAGATGCCCCTCGTAGTGGGCGACCTCGAGCGACCACTGCGGCGCAGGATCGCTACATCTGGGTACATCACCTGCGTCATCTAACAGCTACGGCGACCAGTACCGCTCGACAAATACCCGGATTGAGGAGGCCTTCTGCACAGACCGTCAGGAACAGGTTGAGAGAGGCTGGATTACGTGCCAGAAGACCTTATTTTGGCCCAGTGCTTCGACAACAACATCGTCGACATCGAGTTCAATGGTGCACCAACGTTCAGGCCTGGAACCTACCGAATTGGCGTAGAATCTGGTTAAGTGATAAATCACGATTTCTATTGGAACGACGCGATGGAAGAATGCGGGTGTACAGACGTCGACGTGAACGTTTCGCCGACGCTTGCGTTCCCCAGGTGGACAGATTCGGCCGGGGCGGTGTTATGATGTGGGGAGCGATCACCTGCCGTAGGAGAAGTGATTAGGTGATGATCCAGGGCAGCCTGACAACCCAACGGTACCGTGACGAAATCCTACGCCCACACCTTCTTCCAATCATTGATCGCCAGAGGGAGTTGTCTCAACAGGACAATGCCAGGCCCCACACAGCACGTCACACTAGAGACTTCCTCCAGAACAACAACATCAATGTGCTCCCCTGGCCCTCAAGATCACCGGACTTAAACCCGATCGAACATCTGTAGGATGCCCTGGACAGACGGGTGCGACGCCGTAACCCTCAGCCCCAGACACTTCAGCAACTCGCACAGGCACTACAAGCAGAGTGGGCTGCGATTGGGCAACTCGAGATTCTGAGACTTACTCGTTCGATGCCGAGGCGATGCCGTGCAGTTCTGGATGCCCACGGTGGTCACACGAGGTATTGACTTCAGCGCCACCACACGTCTCCATGTGGCACTCAAACTGAATTTTCTCGAGTTGGTGCCAAAGACGGATAAGTCTGCATTCCCAGTGTGCAATTTCGCTATATTTCATTGACTCAGAAAGCCTACAAGATGTTTCAAAATAAACATAAAAATACAGTTGAAATTCCTATATGCGTTTCTTTCTTGGGAAAGTATATAATTCACCACAGCTCATGTAGAGGTTGCAATTGTGTTCTGTTCACGTATTTGACGGGTTTAACCCCACTTTCCCCACATCTGAATGTTTGGATAAGGGATTAGGAGGTCACTGGGCTGTGAATGTGGGACTATAGTCTGTTCTAATTAGTGGCATTGGTGAACACTTCTCACTATTAGTAGAAGGGAGCTAAGGCCAATTGGTGAAATTGGTTCACTTATGAGTTGTGAACTGTTTAATAGGTCTTGATGTAATAATTAATTTGAAATAAAAACAAATAAACTACTGAGATTTAATCATAGCTTATCGTTTTGACATAAATAACTTTAGATACATTGCTAATACTAAAAGTGGTTAGAATTTAGTGTTAGATGGTTTCAAATTCAGAGTTAAGTCTACACGTAATATTATGACATACTGGGAATGCTGCAAAAAAGACTGCACAGCCAGAGTTACCATACGAGATGGTATTCTAGCATCGCCTCTTCCTCAACACAATCACCCTTCAGAGAAGAACAAGATAGCAGTCCAAGAAGTCGTGCAGCAGATGAAGGTCAGAGTCAGAGCTGCCTGCAGAGCTGTACCTTCTTTGTACAAAGGAGAGCTTCGAGTTAGGACCGTTTGCAAATTATAACCCTATAAATAAATTATAACCCTTCATTTCTCATAAATAAACACTGTAATGAATGAAAATGTCGGATATCACCTGCACTGACTCGGTTCCTGTCAAAATGTAGATTTTGGGTTGATCCTTTGAGCCCGAAGGACATCATCCCCGAGATTTTAATATTTTAATTTTTTGTTTGAAGCATTGTCTCAGACACCCATCAAATCATACTTTCAACACTGTAATGAATTGTGTTGGACTGTAATGTATTGTCTGTTTAGTGCTACGACTATACCTATATAGACTATACCTTAATCCTCCTTTTGTAACTAACTGGTCATGGGCTATCACCTGCACGGCAGCACGTGACAACGGCCTGGAGATAATATGTGCGGCAGCAATCAGATGGCATATAGAAAGGCGACTAACGGGGTATGGTCAGGTCATTGTATCGATTTGATGATGTCAATCACTGGATTCGCGTATATATAGACTGCCGTCATCAGTGATTGAAGTATTTGATGGGTCATCAAATCCTAACTCGATACAATGACTTATCCGTCTTTGGCACCAACTCGAGAAAAACACTAAATTCTAACCACTTTTAGTCAGTTTGAGTGCCACATGGAGAAACAGACGTAATTTCACCAATGGTGGCGCTGAAGTCAATACGTGAACTTCGTGTGACCATCATCTTGTAGGCTGGGCATCCAGAACTGCACGGCATCGCCTCGGCATCGAACGCCTCGGCATCGAGTAAGTCTCAGAATCTCGAGTTGCCCAATCGCAGCCCACTCTGCTTGTAGTGCCTGTGCGAGTTGCTGAAGTGTCTGGGGCTGAGGGTTACGGCGTCGCACCCGTCTGTCCAGGGCATCCTACAGATGTTCGATCGGGTTTAAGTCCGGTGATCTTGAGGGCCAGGGGAGCACATTGATGTTGTGGTTCTGGAGGAAGTCTCTAGTGTGACGTGCTGTGTGGGGCCTGGCATTGTCCTGTTGAGACAACTCCCTCTGGCGATCAATGATTGGAAGAAGGTGTGGGCGTAGGATTTCGTCACGGTACCGTTGGGTTGTCAGGTTGCCCTGGATCATCATCAAATCACTTCTCCTACGGCAGGTGATCGCTCCCCACATCATAACACCGCCCCGGCCAAGTCTGTCCACCTGGGGAACGCAAGCGTCGGCGAAACGTTCACGTCGACGTCTGTACACCCGCATTCTTCCATCGCGTCGTTCCAATAGAAATCGTGATTTATCACTTAACCAGATTCTACGCCAATTCGGTAGGTTCCAGGCCTGAACGTTGGTGCACCATTGAACTCGATGTCGACGATGTTGTTGTCGAAGCACTGGGCCAAAATAAGGTCTTCTGGCATGTAATCCAGCCTCTCTCAACCTGTTCCTGACGGTCTGTGCAGAAAGCCTCCTCAATCCGGGTATTTGACGAGCGGTACTGGTCGCGGTAGCTGTTCGATGACGCAGGTGATGTACCCAGATGTAGCGATCCTGCGCCGCAGTGGTCGCTCGAGGTCGCCCACTATGAGGGGCATCAGCTACCGAATTCTGCCGGTGATATCTCTCCCAGAGCCGTGAAATGGTGCTTTGGTGAA